AGAAGTGTTGTGATGCTGTTGTAATTTCTACTTAGAAAGGAAGAACATATTATATAGATACACATTTTTTTTTCCAGAATTTTCCATGGTTATGCAAGTCAAAAGCATCTAAATTTTCAAATGACTTAAATAAGCAAGAATAAGTCACATCAGCAGCACTTTATCCACTTACAGTCAGAGAATTTGGCCCAGGTATTTCTGAAGCAGAATCTGCCATAAGCGACTAAGTAGCTTTCATAGCTTTTCCTCCACCTCTGGAATCGAAGTGTTGACCTCAATCTAGTAAGACTAAAGCTTTCAGATTCTATTCAGGACTTGAACCAAGATCACCACCACTGTTAGATGGTGGCAGGTATACAGCCAACTTTTATGGTGCAGCCTGACCCAAGAGCTCTTCCTCCAAACTCCCTGCTGCTGGAATGCTGCCTTCCCATTTGCCTGTCCACGCTCTTGGGAAAAGTATGTGCACTGCATCCTGCAAAGACTTTCCACAACTCTCCGCCCAGTTACAACTATAGCTATTCAAATAACAGGTAAAAGCCTTTTTCCTTTTACTTGTATCACTTTCCTCTCTTTTGATTATTTAACTTCCACTGAATTGTTTAGCTCTGCCAAAACTAGAACATAGGTCAAATGAACAACTCCATGCTATAGCGATATATATTGTATCATATGATTCACTGGAGACTAACTTGAAGGAACTAAATTCATATTCCTTATTTAACATTCATAAAATAACAACACTACTGAAAAAAATCCAGTCAAGAGTGGAAGTTTTATCAGCTAACAGGAAAAGAGACCTAACAATAAGAAGGGCTCTTACAGCTAAGGTCCAATTTTCTGGTCACTGAACTACATGGATATAGGAGGCATTGGACCCTACAAAGAGAACGCCAGCTACCCCAATTCAGGAACATCAAGCTGCAGCAATACCAGGATATTTGCACCTTCTAAGACTCTCCACAAAGAAAGACCAGAACCAGTAGTGCCTCTATTACAGAACATTTCCTGGCCAGATTACTGAGCTAACAAGGGAAAGAACCGCTCAAAGCCACCCAGCTATTGAAGGAAGGAAGAGCATACCAATTAAGTCTGAGGTGGGAGCGACCAGAAATGAAGGGTTTGCATTGAGTTACTGGCACCTACTAGCTTGTCACTAAAGTGATAATAGCTGCTCACTCGCTCTCTCCATTTCAATTATGCTTTCCCTATCCTCACAGCAATTTGTTCTCTTATTCTTTCCGCACTTCCACAACTAGCTCTGTCCTACCTTCAGAGAAAGAGAAGCCAGAGGAGCCCCAGCTATCCATCCATTCAGAATTAAAGTACTGTTTGGGCAGAGGTCAGACCTTTTCTACAAGCCTATCTGTAGGTTCACTTCCCAACAAATCAGTTCTGCTTCTCCTTTACAGCAAGGTTTGAAGAGAACGAGAAGGGAGATGCCAAAACACGCCTAGATCCAACATTTGATCATGGATGCCATCACAGTATGGTTGGGATTTTTCTCAGCAACTGAAGAGAATGATTTTGCAGAGTAGCTTAACTGGAAATAACACAAAGTGCCAGCAAGCCATCTGTTCTAACCTCTGTGTTAAAGTTAACAGCTATTTTGGATTTCCACAGAGGAAGTCAGCTAAAGCTGTTAATATCTGTTGGGTTTTTTTGCCCCCAGGGAGTTGAAGCACCCTCTGCTTTTATTAAATGGAACAGGAACAACAGGAACCGGAGATCCCTGAAGAAGGGGCAGAAAACAAAAATTAGGGACACAAACAGCACAGTGTTGCATTATGATGCTGTCCAGTCACTTCTCTCCTGACACAGGAGTCAATTCAGACCTTTCCCAGTTTGTCAGAACCTGCCACATAGGCAAGGCAGGCATCACCCTGAACACATGCAGTGACTGACTGCAGACTGAGGACACACTGAACCATCTAACATTGCCAGCAGCCACCAAGCACATCTGGGCCTTTAGTACATTTTTGAGATGAAGTATCAGTTAGCCTATCTATGCTCAGGGTTAATTTTAGAGATAGATACAATACTTTAAGACATCAGTTTAATATTGAGGCTGAGGAGGGAAAGGCAATATTAAGTAATTTGCTCAAAAAAAAAAGAAAGGGAAGTTACAGTGTTTTCTACTTGTAGTTAAAAAGACCACGAGAGTTTTGAAGTGGCTCTTAATTTTTTTTCTTGGGAGATTTAGCTTATTCTCATTAAGTAATTTAAACCTTTTCCTCCTCCGCACTTCCTTTTCATGAAGGGGCTGTCTCCCAAACTGAACAGCTTGACACTAGGTTTGATCCTAGTCTGATTCAAGGATTTATTTCCAGCACTGACGTAGCTGAAGTCGCATGAGACTTCAGTCCACAAGGACATCTGTCTTCTGGCATCAGATGATGTCACGTACTTGCCACTAGGATTGCTTTCTCGAAATTTTGAACAAAAGGTCGCAGTTGGAAATTTTGGTGCTAACCAAAGATAAAATTTATCTCAGCCTCAGGAAAACCTCTTCCTTTTAAGCTCAGAAGCTAGAAAGAAAGGATTTTTACAGCCAACACATTGCAACTGACAATACGATTTTGTTAGTGCTCTGTGTCTGACCCTGCGTTTCTCGCTTGTACATCATTAGTGACAGAAAGATGTGCTGTCACTGCAATGGACAGCTGTCTTCACCTCAGCAGAGACCTTTTCTTCAGCAGGTATGAATCAGAACTCTTGGGTCAGAACAGCATCCAGTGAAGTGACAGTGGTGCCAGTACAAGCATGCTTAGCATGACTCCAATTATGATAAATGCATGGTCTAAAACCAGTCGATCTGCAAACCAGAATTATAAGAGCTTACTTCTATACAATGCAGCAGTTCCATTTAAATAATCAAAATAAAAATATCACAGAGGATACACATTTGACACATATTAAATCACAACACTAACTGAACTTCCACCAAACCAAATCACCACACTATGCAGCATCAATCATCATCATCAACAGAATGAAAGGGCAGCAGGAACCTCTTCTCCATCTATTACTAGGAGGAAATATTCACAGCAATACTCAGCTTCCTCAAGAAACGTATGCATCTATTTCTGACAACCATAAATCAGACTCCTTTATTTCAAAGGAAATCAGAACTTGTGAATTAGTAGGTCATCAACTTAACTCTTTTTCAAACTAGCATTAAAATGCTAATCCTAGTTCTATGTTAAAACTGATATTACTATAAGTAATGATATAAAGAAATAATCCAGCAAAGGCAGAGAAAGTAAGTGATAATTGATGCTGAAATAGCATCACACCACGAAGCCTATGGTCCAGAACCTGATCTTAGATATGCTTATAATAGAACTGTTTCAGTTGGAAGGGACCTTAAATAAAGATCACCTAGTTCCAACCCCTCTGCCACAGGCAGGGACACCTTCCACCAGACCAGGTTGCTCAAAGCCCCATCCAGCCTGGCCTTGAACCCTTCCAGGGAGGGGGCAGCTACAGGTGCTCAGGGAACCCTGTGCCAGTGCCTCACCACCCTCACAGTGAAGAATTTCCTCCTCCTATCTAATCTAAATCTACCCTCTTTCAATTTAAAACCTTTACCCCTTGTCCTACCACTACACTCCCTGATAAAGAGTCCCTCCCCATCTTTCCCGTAGCTCCCTTTAGGAACTGGAAGGCTGCTATAAGGTCCCCCCAGAACCTTCTCTTCTCTAGGCTGAACACCTCCAACTCTCTCAGACTGTCCTCATAAGGGAGGTGCTCCAGCCCCCCCCGATCATCTTCGTGGCCTCCTCTGGACCTGCTCGAGCAGATCCATGTCCTTCTTACGTTGGGGGCCCCAGAGCTGGATGACATACTCCAGGTGGGGTTTTCACAAGAGCAGAGTAGAAGAGGTATTCATAGTAGTATGAATAAGAATCACCACTAAAACTTAAAGTTATTTAAAGAGGCACATCATCTTGATCATTAAATATTTTACAGGGTCAAGCTATTTCTAGAGGTAGATGCAACTTCTATTTGCGTATCTGCCAGAAGCATGACAGAACTTTCTCTGGGCTCCAGTGCTAGCTCCACCTTACTCACCCACCCCAAGCTGCTTCCTCAGATAGGTTTCTGCCTGCCCCCTTGCACAAATTTCAGCACACTACACCAAGTGTACCAGCACTCTTCCACGTTCATCTTTTAACTGCAAAATGAAGGAATTAAACACTACAAAAAGAAACAGTGAAGACAAGCAACCTTAAGACGGGCAAACTGTCAGCTCGGTTGACGGTGCCAGCGGTCATCACACCCTGTTCTGAGATGTTTTATTTCGCAACCCAGCTCTTCATAACCATGAACCATTTTTTTGCAAAGCCTTGCTGCTACACAGTCAGCTTGGTTGTTGAGGCCTGCAGATTTGTTATAATGGCTCCCTCAGCAAACCTGTGGTGCAACTTGCTACACAAGCCAGTCCACAGAGACCTCAGTGCTGTGCTGCTGTAGGTCCTGTCATGTCATGTCACCACCCTCTTGGTACTCACTGTGGCCAAAAGCAACGCAACAAGGGTTGAGGTTAGGGACGGCTGCACAGAAAGCCTTGCAGGCAGAGGGAATCCCGGTCCCGTTCCCAGAGCCCTTCTGCACAGCTCAGGGCAGGTCACCCGCATCGCCCGGATCCGCGGCTCTCCCCACCTCCTCCACGCAGGGAAGAGGAGCCACCCGCCACACCAGAGCGGAGCCGCACAGCGGGGCAGCGCAGCGCGCCCAGCTCCGGGGCGAGCCCGCCCGCCTCCCGCGGGGACGCCCGGGGCCGCTGCCGCTCGGGGCACCGCTGCGGCGCCGGGCAGGGGCTGCCCGTGACTAAGCACGGGCGGCCTCCCCCGGGCCGGGCTCTCCCCGCGCCCGGCCCCGAGCACCAGCCGCCTGGCAGCAGGGCCGCTCCCGGGAAGGCACCGGCCGGGATGCACCGGCACCAGCCCCAGCCCGACCCCGCCGCCCCCCGCCCCGGCAGCCCGCCCTCCGCGTACCGCTGCCATCCTTGAAGTCAGGGGGTGGGACGTCTCGCAGCGACCGGGTCCAGCCCCCCTTCTCCGCTTCCTCTTCCTCCTCCTCCTCCTCCTCCAAAGGGCCGGGGCCGCCCGGGACGGCGCTGCCGCCGCCGCCCTGCCGCTGCTGCCGCCGTCGCTCCGCCGGGGTGGCCGCCGCCCTGGAGGCGCGGCGCCGGGCCGCCCTGCCCCGCGGGCCCGGCCCCTCCGGGCGCCCCTCGTCCTCCTCGTCGTCCTCCTCGTCCTGGGAAGAGGCGGCGGAGCGGGAGTCGGCCGAGGTGCTGTAGAAGGGGTTCCCGCTGCTGTCCTGGCCCGACTCCCCAAAAACGTCGTCGGAGATCTGCAGGCTCTCGTAGCGGGAGCGGGCCGCCTCCAGCAGCGACAGCGCCTTCCTCCGCGCCGGCCCGCCGCCGCCCTCCGCCATCATCTCGGCCGCCGCCAGCAGCCTCCCGCGCTCCCCTCGGCCCGGCTCGGCCGGGTCCTGCGGCCGCAGGCAGCAGCCCAGCAGCAGGAGCGTCTCGGGCACGTTGGCGGGCAGGCAGGGAGTGGGGGGAGCCCCGCCACCGCCGCCGAGCCCTGCCTCCCGCTCCCGCCCGCACCACCCGCCCCTGTGTGTGTGCAGGGACATGGGGGGAAGGAGCCAGCTCAACATCTCCAAGTACCACATCCAGCCAATTACCGCGGCAATCCACGCGCGGGAGGTGGGGTTATATGGGCGCCGCGGGCCGGCGCAGGCCGCCCACCGCCCGCCCCGCCGCCCGCCGCCGCTCCGCCCATTTAAACCCACAGCGCCGGGATGCGGCGGGGCCGCCGCTGCGCCCCGTCACCGGAAGGGGGGCCCCTGCGCCGCGCCCGGATCCCGCTTCCGGCCCCGGCCCCGGCCCCGGCCCCGGCCCCGGCCCCGGCCCCGGCCCCGGCCCCGGCCCCGGCCCCGGCCCCGGCCCCGGCCCCGGCCCCGGCCCCGGCCCCGGCCCCGGGCCCGGCCGGAGCTGTCCGCTCGCCCGCGGTGCTGGAGCCGGGGGCGGAGGCAGAGGCAGCAGCGCCGGCTTCGCTGCCTGCAGGCCCGTCGGTAGCGCCCGCGGCTCCCGCGGGCGAGGAGCTACCGGCGGGGGCTGGCAGCAGGCCTCCTCCCTCCTCCGCGGCCGAGGCCTCCCCAGGGAGGAGAAAGGCGCTGAGGTAGTGCCCGGATGGGTCAGGGCCTCGACGGCATGGCCGGGGCCACGCCAGCTCATGGTGGCTTTGCGCAGGCGGAGGGGGCGTGAGCTGGGGGACACGGCAGTCGGGGCCCTGATGTTGCTGCCCCAAAATAGAGCTCCAGCGCTGGGGCAGCCCTTGAAGCAAAGCAGGGAAGGCACTGGAGCAGGGGGGCGCGGGGCACCCAGCACCGGGGTCCCACCAGCCAGGCGCTCGCCGCCGGCTCGGGCTGCGGGGAGGCTTGGCACCGGCCTGGGGTGACACGCGTGCCCCTGCCCGGGCCCGGATCCGGCACTGAGTGCGCTGTAGGGTGCGGGGCTGAGCCCCTGTGGTGTGCGGTTTGGTTTCCCAGGTGAGTACAGTGTGAAGTAGCCGTTCTTCCAAAATTGCCGCCGTTTTAAAAGCAGTATGGTGGCACCAGAAAAACGAGGAAAGTGAAAATACCCATATCCTGACTGGGTTAGTTAAACATGATTCGGAAGTATCCCTGGGGTAATCTAAGGGTTTCGTACAGCAGCTGAAGCCCCTGGTTGTGCAGCAGTCAGAACAGTCTGTCTGATGCTACAGGAATGTTTGAAATCTCTGATCAAGGTTTATTATTATTACTATTGGCATCCTACTGTGCTGCTTACTGTACAAACACTCATTAAGAAGTTACTCCCTGCCTCCCTTCTCACTGACAGCAAAAGTAGCTACTGAGCCTACCCTTTCACAGCGCTGCTTTCAAAATAAACAGTAATCAGATTCTGTGGACTGGCTGTATGCAACTGGGGGGGGGGATATATTATTAGCATTTTTTGATGCAAACTTTAAGAGTAGGTTAATCTGAACATCTGTTAGTGCTACAGATTTTACAAATTTTATAATACTGAATGTTTCTGTCTAAAAAACTAATGTTCTTCTGATGATTCTCGAGAACTCTAGCACAACTTGGACTATGATAAAAGCTGGACTGTGTAGGTATTTAAAAGACCAATCTTATGTTCTATTCAGATATTTTTAAACTGCAGTGACTTCATTAAAACTTTAAAGTTCTACATAGTGCATACAGCCAAATCCAGAGAAAATAATCCATCTCCTGTGCATCCTTAAGCAAACAGAAAAGCCCAGTGTAATTTGAGAGGGGAGATTTAAGCTGTATTTCTACTTTGAAAATTCTCATGTCTTATTGATTATATTAAAAAATTACTAAGTTTATAGACAAATGGATTTTAATTTTTTTTTTTTTTTTACTGCAAGCTCTGCCAACTTAGCCTGCAACTTGAACATCACGCTGGGTTCATTTCATCTCACTGGTCACTAGAAATCGTAGCTCTGCAGGCCAAGCTATCCTTTTAATTGCATCCATGCCACCCAGAATACCCTCATGGGAAGGCATAACCGGACTTGCAGAATTTTTCTTGCTGGTAATGATGAGCAATCAGGTTGAACCTCATGAATCCAGTTTGCAGGGTTGGCATGTAGAAAAACACAGATTATAAATGTCTGTTTTATATGCAGTTCCCATGAAACAAAACAAGAGTGATGCCCTGTGATGACTTTCTCACACAATGGTTAAGACTGAAAAAAACACTTTAAAGATGTTGACAGTTCTTTGTACTGGAGACATTGAAATAAACTTTTGCTTTCTGGATCAATGGAGGTGTCCATCCAGATGATGTAGAATTCACCTCAGTATCCAGGTTCTATGAAAGTGTCCATGAACACACAAATGTCTTTCAATTTGCTATTTTTCAGTAAAACACAACAGCAGGAAGGGCTGCTCTGAAGTCCAGGTCAGAGAAAGGTTTATCAGAATGGGCTCCCAGTAAAAGTGTTAACGGGAACGGTCCAGAGACTGAAGAAACCCAGTCTTCTCTAGCTGCTGGTTGCAGCAGAGACCATTTCTCCCAACTCTTGCATGCTTCACTCCAAAAACAAGCTCCCATCACAGCTGGCTGAGGCATGCTGCCAGGACTTTCCCTCCTAATGGCATGCCGGGTGTCAGAACTTCAGCTTTCCTTTTTTTGAAGAGAATGCTGGACACAACAGGTCTGGGAGGAGAGCACTGCACCAACAGAGAGAGGCAGGACTGACGCTCGCAGTTACCCATCCAACATGACATTTTAATGATGGAGTCTCCTGTTATACATGCACCTGCACCTTTTGTTAGTGAAACTTTCCCCTCTTTCAGCCTAGTCTATACAAAGACAAGTTGCTATTCTGTCTGTCCCACAAGCAGAGAGAGTGCTTTAGTCTCTCAGGCATGCACGGGGAGGTAAGATCACTTTTCCAAGACAGGCTCCCACACAGGGCTGTGTGCCTAGGGTTTTGGCTTGCCTTATGGTCTAAGATGTAGCTGTCTACGTGTTCCTCTCAGACCAGCCATACAAACTGCTGGTTGGATTACTGTAACCCAAAATGAGGGTTCTGGATTATGAAAATTGCCATGTATGACATGCTAGTAGTCGTTTGGACCCAAATGATTGTGGAGAGGCAGAGATAGGACAGGTGGTTCTAAAAATGGTCTCATCAGTCCACTGGGTTTTTATGGACAGTTGAGAAAAAGGTCACTAGTGGTGGTTGGCAAGTGAAAGAGCTAATTACATAGACCTAATGAAACATTATAAACATAGCTGTGTTTTCTCCTTAATCACTTGTGTTTAGCTGCTAGAAAACACTACTAGAATAAACAGACTTTTGTATCTATGCCAACCTGTGGATCCACCTTTAATTTGCCTACAGATAAAATGTTTGGATTTTTTTCCTTGAAGTTTTCTGGTTTTATTGCAACAGCAATGGTGCCTTCCGTATGCTCCTTCTGACCCTGCCAACATTCAAGTTTAAGACTATGGCAGTCCTGAGCCTCTCATCCTGTGCAAGAAGTCATTAAAGTGCCCAATGGCCAGCTGCCAGTGGCTGATTCTTTACATTATCTTTCAACCAAGTGATAAAATATTCTGAGGAAGGCACATGTTGGATCACATCATGCATAGCAGAGCACACGGCAGTGACAGTGCTGGTGATCAGATGGTTGTTTGTATTCACTTTGCACAATTCCAAACCTCGTCCTGCTTCTGCTGCAGCCAAAGGTACCATCATCCCGTTGCCTTGACCAGCGTGTCTCTGCTGGGAAGGGGATTGGGCCCTTGTATCATTTCTCGGTTAGGTTGCTGAGGAAGGACACTTCAGTTTCACGTTTGCCTGCTTCAGTGGTTCTTTAGCTCCTGTAAATTGACTGCAGGCTGTCTGAAGGGCTCTGGCTGAGAAACTGAAGCACTAAAAGATGGCAAATCATAGGTTTCAAACTCTCTGCCTCTAACCACTCCCCTTTACAGTGTTTAAAGATAGCTAGAAATGTATCAGGGTTTTTCTTGTACTGCTCTCCCATGTGATTCAGGAGGTGGTAATCTCTCATTGAAGACACACATGCTACAAGAAAGATTGTGGGCTAGTTTGAGCAGGTCTGCTAAACATACATGTAATATGGTGGGGTTAAAACTTAATAGGGTAAGAAAAGTGAGGCCTTGTTCCTGTAGTGGGAAGTCCTGTATTTCTCACTTCTCAGTAACTTACGCTTCATAGTTAGACATCAAGCTCTTTGAGGAAGGGTCTTGTGCCGTCTTTGCACAGTACTTTACACTGTCAAACCTTGGCCCAGATCCAACAGAATATTGTCATTTCTCCCTCCTACCTAAACCTCCACACTTACTATTGATTTCACAGTGTTTGTACACCTAAGCCCTGGTGTGTGCCTGGTCCTTTCACAGCACAAATACATCAAGATAGAATAATATTTAATCAGGTTACAAAATTATTCTTTTCTAATCCCCTGTTCTGCAAGTGCAGGCCAGAATATGAATTTCAAACTCTTCCATCTCAATGCCCTCCTAAAAGGAGTCTGTAGAGTCAGAGTCGATTTGTTCATCCAGCGTGAGGTCAATAGGCTCCAGTTCCCTTTTCCATTATTACCCTGCCTTAGGTGAACAGCAAAACTTGGAAAAGAGGCTTCATCAAGACTGAAAACAGCAATGACTTGGAGCCAGTGTATGGTTTCCTCCCAAGCCCCTGAGAAGAGGCAGGGGGGAGCTGCCCTGGCCCCGGGAGAGATCGCAGATCAGACTGTTTCTCAGCACATCACTGTGCAATGTCCCTGCTTCACAGGGAAGAAATCTATACAGCCACAACCAGTCATGTTACATTGGTCTCCACGCTCTGCAATAAGGCTTCTGTTAACATGTCTGGCTGCATAGCACGGGGAAAAGCAGCTTCATAGGGCTTGATTTGCCCTCTGCAATATACTTGCTCCACACAGGGAGTTGTGGAGCAATATCTCCTCCTCCCTAGAACTAGAAAGTTGGAAATAACATGGATAATAGGTGGGGATTTTTTTCTTTTAAACTCATCAGGTATGTACAATATATGGAATGACAGTGACAATAACAACACTTGTCTAGATATTTTCTTTTTGCTTTCTGCTTTTCAACTTCAAC